TTGGAAGGCTGGCTTTGTGACTAATTAGAAGGCAGTGGTATCTCTGTAAACGATGCTTGCTCCGGCCAGAGATATTGATTACCCCTGTGACACTGACTCATGTGCTACTCCTAAAACATTGATCATCAGTGAAGTCACAGGCCCATAAAGGCAAAAGGACTGCCACAGTTAGAAACTGAGGCTGAACTAGCATCAGTACAAGCTTAGAGACTTAGTACTGTCAGTATAGGCAACTTTTCCTTTTAAGTAAATTGTTTATATTTTATTCCTGGCTCCAGCTCATAATTGTCTCAAAATGTAAATTGTAGCTGATTTGATATCACATTTAGAAGATCTGTATTCCATCTGTTCTGGTATGGGCATGGAAACCGCATACTAGTTGAATGAGCATGTTAACGAATTAACGTGTTGATTTATAAGCCAATTCAGATTAATCAAATAAATAGTAAACATATCAGCATGTGTGATACCTTTTTGTTTGTTTGTTTTGTTTTTGAGACAGTCTTGGTATGTACCTCAGACTGGCCTGGACCGCTTCTGTGAAACCCAGATGGTCTTAACTTGTTATACTCCTACCTCAACCTCCCAAGTTCTGGGGTTATACAAATGCACTGCTGTACCCAGCACAAAATTACCAGTCTATGAGAATTACTATATTGGGTGCATGGAAACCCATGTGGTACTTTAGGATACAGGAGTATGGAAGAACTTCAAATGGCCTTCAGGGCATCTTTAGAAGGCTAGAGAAGTTCTTTAGTGTCTGGCTGAGAATCTGGTGGTGGCATATTTTCACTGGGCAAGTTGGTGGCTAAGAAATTAGGAGCTATGGGCAGAGTTTAGGCATGCTAAAACCTATAATGGCCTGCAATGGGCTTGGTGGCATTGCTGGTACCTAGAGGTGGGGTTTGTGCCTGTGTCACACAGGATCAATCAGGAATTCTGGCACCAGTGATCATGCAACTATGAAAAGAGTCTTAGAAAATATTTAATCAGATGGCAAGGAACAATCCTTTGAAACTCTGTGTCTTTGAGTCAAAACTCCACAGAATGTTCTCAAATCTGCACGCCGCCAGAACACAAAGGACACAGCACCTTATCCTTCAATGACCCTCTAGCAGCTTTGACTGGATAAGCCCATTGAAAAGAAGTGCATGCTGGAATTCTATTTGTGGCCACACGGCTTGTATTGATTTATCTTTGCATTCAGAGGTAGGTCTCAATTAGTACCTGGTGTGTTCCTTCTTTCACAAGCTTGCTGTGGCTAATATTAGAGGTCAACTGAAGATTCTGAAGGTTCCACATATGTCATATTGACTGTAGGTGCCCAAATTTTAGCTCAGTATACTTGTCTGTTATGATTGGTCACATTATTATTGCTTTTAGTAGCTGAGCTTATTAGGTCTATTCCTATTCTCTCACCACATTTTTCAAACATATACTTTAGCTGCAAGGCACAAACAAAATGTGTGTGTGTGTGTGTGTGTGTGTGTAGAGAGAGAGAGAGAGAGAGAGAGAGAGAGAGAGAGAGAGAGAGAGAGAGTGGGGGAGTGAGAGGGAGGGAGAGAGGGAGGGAAGGAAAGAGAAAGAGAGGGAGGGTTGGCCAGTAGGGGGACACACATACATCTTGTTCCTACTGTAGAGTTGGTTTTCCCCTTCCACCTTGATGTGGGTTCTGGGGCTCAAACTCAGGTTGTCAATCTTGTACAACAAGCCCCTTTTCCTGCTGAGCCATCTTGCTAGCCCTAAACATGATCTTTAATGTTGATCAATGTCAATGGCAGGATCATAAACACATCAGAGTCTTGCTAGCCTCCATCCTAATTAAAGCCATTCATAATTTTTTATTAATGAGTTGAGGAAACTGCCCCCAGCAGATGAGCTAGAAGCAGTACATCATCCATTTGCAGAGCTAAAGAGCAATATTGATTTTTGGAGCAATGAGGAACATGCAAATGCTTCAATAACTGTTAGTAGCCAGGCTATTTTTCATTAGCCATTGCTGTCATTATCATGATGTAGATGAGAAAAATTCAGTATTAGTCACTATCTTCTGATGTTCTATAGAGACTGTCCTATATATTTACATCAACATACTGCTTTCATCATATGTTAGCAAGTCAATTATAATGCATATTTAGGAGACAGATATGCAGTTGTATGGGGATCAAAAGTGTTGTTTAAAAAGTTATATACTAATCATTAATTCCTGGATAAAACTGGTTTGTTATTTCCAAAGTCACAGTGTGTGATGAATCTTTCTTGATGTTTATGTCTATTGTTGCTTTTATTGGTGAATTAGCATTGTCAATCATGTATTTTTCTGGCAGGCAGGACATGAAAGAATTTGATTCTAAGTGGTTTATCCTTTGTTATGGTAGAGGTACGCAAGCCTTCGATGGCAATGCCTCACTTGCTTTGACAGTTTGCTTGGCTCCGTAGTCTGTGTTCAGGATGCTTTCTTTTCACTTTATTTCAAAGAAGGCAGGGATTTTTTTTAGACACAGTAAAATATTTCTAACTTGAATGTTTCTGACCGACAAATGCTTTACAAAAGCATATTGCTAGACAGTGATCATGCTAAGTACATGTTTCTGTAGAATGGAAGAGCTGCTTCTTTCGAAACTCCTGTGCCCAGTGTGTCCCCACTGAGCACGGGACAGGAAATGTGTAGTGCTAGGAGGCTGCTGAACAAGAATCTTCTAGCATAATGGTGAAAGCTCCCAGCAGAGATGTTAAAGAGATGTTCTTGAACTTGTATTTACCTACTGTGAATAGAGCAAAGTGTTCATCTTGCAATGGACCTATGAGCAATAATGGATACTACCCACAACTTTAATGACTTTCATCGTATCATCCAGAAATATACAAACCGAATGAGGAGTGCAAAAACCCATTTGTAACTGAAATGTATGTGACAGAGATGGTGTATTAGCTTTCTGTCACTGTAACAAAATACTCCCGGTGTTCAGCTTATGAAAAGGTCTCTTTGTGGCTCACAGTTTTAGGATGACATGAGCCAGTGATACTGAGGGTAGGGAACACATGGGATCCCAGTCTGGCCCATCACTGCTAGGAAACCATGAAGGTCCCACAGTCCCCTTTAAAGGCATGCCACTAATGTCAAATGTCCCACTTGACTCCTTCTTCTGATATTCCACTGGCTACAGTTCATGGCAGAGGGAAGGGGGCATACAAAGCTTTCTCTGGGCCACTCTCACAGTCCAAAGTATAACAGTCAAGTCAAGGTCTGAGATAATGAAAATGTTCCAGAGATGACAGTGATAAGACAGATAGGCATGAACAAGTACCCATAGAGTGACTCATTTCCATGGTGCTATGAAAATTTGACTGGAGAACAAGATTCTGTCTTTGGTTAGACAGGCTACTGAGTTATATGTAGCATTTATTGAGCTGCATGAGTAATATGTACAAAACTGGTCTCTTTGCTAACTGGTACATCAGTAATATATGCTCCCTAACAGTCTTGGCCTATGCACATTTTATGTGGAAGTACAGATGCTCAGCATAGAAACGAACAGAGAGGCGAATTCTGCTTTAGGTATGCCTGAGGTGTTGGCCCTCACTGCTACAGTGCAGCCTCTACACGTTACAAATGGTTCCATGATTGCTTCTTCAGGTGTTAGAGAAGCAATGGGTATAGTAATTCTGCATGGAATTTAAAGGCAGAAATGCAGTGTGAGATATCATCACTCGACTCTTACTGTCATTTTCCTTAAAGCATATAAACGGCGAAAATACAACTGTGGCATAATAGAGCAGTGTATGTGTTGTTACTAACAGACAATTAGTTCCTTATAAACAGGAACATTTATTTGCTGTTGTATTTCCCACTAGTGTTTTTATGTTTATCTCTTGGTTCACATAACAAAATTAAGTGTTTATTCCTACTTTGTAACACACTTATAGATTCTGATTTATCTATTATTACTACTTAGCAATTATAATGATGAAAACAATAATTATCACAGCAGTGAACTACCAAATCCCCTTTTGTTTTCTGCTATCCCATTATGCCAATGATTATGTTGAGAATTTTCAGGAGTATTCATCCTATCTCTAATTAGAGAGGAAGTGTGAAAGTTGTACCATCATTTTCTCATAATGAGAGAGGCTAGCACACAGGTTACTTAATAAATACAATAGTTTGAAATAGTGTTTTGCTACAGGGAAAAAGAAATCTGCCTGAGGAATGGGTGGGATGTCCATAGTTCAACATGGTGCTATGTATGTGTAGACCAAGAACTATCATGTCCTCACCTAACAAATGGCCCCAGATTACAAAGAAACATCAGATTTTATTTACGGTGCAGTGTGTTGTGTCAGTAGAAGTTAAAAGTGTTGCAGATGCATTCAGAAGCATGCGTGGTTCTGCAAGCATTGTGTACATAGGGGAAATGTGAGCCGTGGTGTGAAGTTGGTAGAAGACCTTCACTAAACCCTTAGCATCTGCAGCTCAGGAGGTGAGGTATCTTCATGAGGAGCTCTGCAGCGATGAACTGTAACATGAAGGAAACACCCTGTGGATGAAGATACTCAACTCTGAGGCCATCTGTGTTTTAAATTTCATATATTATCATGTCAGTTTTCAACATGCTTCTATGCTTAAAATAATGTATGTGTTTTGTGTACGCCACTATGTAACATATGAAGTAAGTGATTTCAGACAAACGCAATGTTTTAATTTTTAAATCATTAAAAAGCGGTGAAATCAAATTTCAGCTTGGTTTATGTGATCCCGAATCCCAATTTCTGCTGACAGGTAGTCTTGCTTGTGTACTCACTTACCTCTAGTTTCTGGAGCACCGCTTTCTAAAATATAATTTCTCCATTTTCCAAGGCAAATAAGTAAAATCTCTGAGTTCTCGCCAACTTTGGATAAAAAACATGTAATAAGCACAAATTCAACAAGAATGACTTTCATTCTGGCTTTTCTCTTGCATTCCCTAAAAGTCAAATATTCTAACATTCTCTATTCCTAGAATCCTGTCTTGAGCCCCTCCTGGCACTTCATGCACTGGTCGTTGGTGGGACTATGAACAAGAGACACACAATCTTTGCTTCTTCTTGGGAAAGATGTCAAGAACCACTTGGAAGAACAAACAGTAAAGGTATCAGGCTGTGATAAATGTCCAGAGAATTAAACCACAGGAGTGTGGTCCAGAATGGCTGAACATCCTCTCCGGACTGTGGAATCTGGGCAGAGATCCCTGTGTCCATGATATTTAAAACTGACATTTTCTTGGTCCAAAAGGTAGTCACATGACAACTGGAAGTAGGTGAAAGAATGAATTTTGGTCACTGAAATGTCAGTTTCTAGATTATCACGTATTTTTGTCATGAAAATCTTGATTTTTTTTCATATGAATGTGGGAGTGGGATTATTTGTGGGGAGTCAGGATGAAGGACAGTAGTGATGGGCATTAAATATGAATACATTATACCATTATGTCCTTGAAAGTGTCATAATGAAACTCATTATTTTGCCTGGAAACTAAAATATTTCCTATAATTTTCTAAATGTCACTATTGTGTAGCTCAATTTAAAATATCTAGTTGATATCTTTGTGGGGAATTTACTGGCCAGAAATCTTTTTTTTTTTTTTTTGAGACAGGGTTTTACTGTGTAGTCCTTGCTGTCCTAGGACTTTGTATACCAGGCTGTATACCAGGCTGGCCTTGAACTCAGAGATCCACCTGCCTTTGCTTCCTGAATGCTGAGATTAAAGGCATGCGCCACCACTGCCCAACCACAGATAATCTTGAATGGGTAAAGATAAGATATTTTTTTTAATGAAAGTACAGAAAATGGGCCACAGTAATGAAAAGTTGTGGCAACATGAGTTATCTGGGTAGGTGGTTGAGTGTTTTTTCATCAATGTGACACAACACCTAACAAAAATCCTAGTGAAAGAAATAACTTTAGCTTAGTTTTAGAAGTTTCCATCTATGAGGGGGCTGGCTCTGTTGCTTTTAGGCTTGTGTCATAGCAGAAATATGGTGGAAGAGTGTTGGGGAGCAGCTTATTCATGGCAGTCAGAGAACCACAGGAAAAGTAAAAGAGCAGGAGAGTAGCTGAGAGGAGTCTGAGACAGGCTAAAACCCCTGGGAATGTGCACCCAGCAAACTACTTCAAGTTGGCTCCATCTTTGAAACTTTCCATTAGGCCCCACAGTGCCTTCAGAATTATGCATGTGTGGGTGGCGTGGTCTACTGGTTAATTTGCAACCCTCACAGTTTCATCTCTATGAATGATCCAATGGTTGGCACCCAGCCTCTAGACAGCAGTACTTGGGTGGACACTTATGTCTTGGCAGGCTCTAGGTGTTAGAGATCCAGTTTATCTGCCCTGTTAGCTCCTGAACTCAATCACTTGTGTGCATGGTCTGACTCTAAATGTAAACTCAAACTTTGCTAGCTTAGTTTGCTGCATGATATCATTTATGTCAGCACTGGGGCATTCTGAGGTTTTCTAAACTGACACTGAGTGTCCTACAGTGAACAGAGAGATGAGTGAATGGATGACGGAAGTCATAGATGGGACTTCCTGAAGCAGCAGTGTCATACATTCTTGCCAAGGCAATAGGTGTCTAACTGATTGTAAACCTGTGTGTTCACACAGGCACAGATAATCAAAAACATAAACTAGACAGCAGATCTAACTTCTGAGTTTAGCCTACCAATATAGTACATCTAAAGCTATTGTAGAAAAGCAATGGTGAATTGGTCTGGGTTACAAATATGGGTGTATATAGAATAGATAATACTTTCCTGGGCTGAAACTTTCTAAATATATTATGATATGTGAATACGAATAGTAGATTCAGTGAAAAAAATATTAATTCCCTTAGAAAGCAATGGGCTGGAAACCCCTGAGATTCTGAACTAGTGCAGAGGTGAAGGAGAGTCAAGAGAAAGCAGTTGTATATGCAAATTATGATTCATGACAGCCTGGGAAGACTGTAGAAAGAAAATATAATTTTAGGAAAAACAGTCAAGAAAATTTCCCTGTGAGAAATAGATTCTTCTTCATTTTCAGGTAATTGACACTTTGAACACTGTCATATTTTGGTTTAAGATATCATTTTTCATTCAGCTAGCATTTGTTGTAAAAATGGCATTTCAACTTGAAAAATAACAGAAAATAGTTCGTGTCATTTAAAGTTGGCACTGCCACTTTTCTGTGTCTCCCACAGAAAAGCTTGGAAAGCATATATTTCCCTGCCAATAATGAGTATATATTATCATCTTCACATAGTGAGATGGCACCAAATAATCCTATGTCATTAGGATATGTGATATTTGGTGTGTTGCATCTTGATTGGCCAATAAATTCTGCAGTTATTTTTGTATGTAGTCAATTTCATTTATTGGAGTGCATGGGTGAACACTTTTTCACTTTTTCCCACTTGGTTCTTATTAATGTCTTCTTGGTTAAAAAAAAAGCACATTTTATCTATTCCCTTAAAGAAACAGCTTTCTAACATGTAACAGAGTTTAACAGAGTTTATAATTTACTACACATTTTGCAATTCTGCCACCATACATTTGATTTAAAGAATATGACAGAGATAGGCAAGGAGGTGTAAGCCTGTAATCTTAGAAGTGCATCTTACCCACTTTAGAAGTGGAGGCAGGATGGTCAGGAAGCCATCATCTTCATGAGTGACATAGTGAGTTGCAGGAAAGGCTAGGGTGCCTGCTACCCTGTTTCAACTTGCATCAACAACAGAAAAGCATAGATAACAAAAGGTAACACTTATCTTCTTTTGTTGTTGTTGTTTTGTTTTTTACGAGACAGAGTTTCTCTGGATTGTTTTGGAGGCTATTGGTCCAGCCCGGCCTTGAACTCACAGAGATCCGTCTGCCTCTGCCTCCTGAGTGCTGGGATTAAAGGCATGCACCACCACCGCCCGGCGGTAACACTTATCTTAAGTGTTCACATTTACTAAATAAAATGCTGGCAGGTGTGTGTTCTATGGGCTTTAATAGCTTGAAAAGATACATTCAGTCATTTCATTTTTGAATAGGTTTATGGGTTTCAAACTTCTTCTACTTGTCAATATACAGAGGGAAACAAAGCACCGTCAGTCACCAATCACTATGCTTTGCAAAGAGCATAGAACATCCACATCGAGACCCCAGCTCTGTCTCCTGCATGCCATTGATTTCCTAGCACTTAATGGCCCCTAAGAAATATGTGTTGAAATAGTGAATGTATTCCATTACCAGTGTAAAAGTAATCTGTGGTAGAGACAATCAATAGGTAAAGATAGCCTATAGCTTAGTGGCAGTATGCTTGTGGAATATGTATAAGGTCCCCAGTTTGATCACCAGGACTGCAAAACGTAGCCTTACTACAATACCATACACACTGGTTTATTTTCCCACCGTTTTGGCAGTGCTCTTTGCCTCCCAGTTCCTAATTGGTCTCACTTTGCCAGTCCTGCACTGCAGGTTCTTTTACAGAATCATGACATGGTTTGTCAGTAATTCAGTGATCAATAAGTGTAGAGCTTTGGTGCTTTGCGTACTAAATGCTGACCTGTTTGAGCGCTGAGTCTCTGTTAGCATTAAATACCTGTGCCCTTCAGACCCTCCTCCTCTTGTGTGAAAGTGGATTCAAAAGAACTATTTATTTAATCGCTGTCTGACTTTTCTGTAGAACTTTAAAAAAAACTTCAAAGAATTTTTAATTTACTCTTTCTTCTCCTGAGACATAAACTATTAACATATGCCTTACTTGTAATAATAGAAAAAGGAAGGAATTAGTTTGTGGCAAATGCATGGCATAGTTATTTCTAGTTCCTCATACTGCATAGGTAGCAGAAAATTGACCTGTTTGATAAAATGTGTACTTGACATTTTGAAGATCTATCAAAATATTTCCCCCATATGTTTCTGCCACATAGTGACATTGGTGAGGATTCCAGGTTCACCACACCCGGGGAACCCTTCTCATTGTCATCCTTGTCACTGCAACCATCCTAGTGAATGGGGAGTGGCACCTCACTGTACTTTCTCAGTGTAGCTTAGTTTTGTTTCGTTTTGAAACACTGTCTCATTGTATCTAACTAGCTCCTGGAGACTCACTATGTAGCCCAGACTTGCTTCAAACCTGTGTCAATCCTCTTGTCTCTTGCTTTTTGGGTGCTGGGACCAAAGTTGTGTGTACCTCACATACCTCCGCTTTTGATTTTCATTTCCCTATCCCCAATTATGTATTAGGACTATTTCTATATCTTCTTTGGATAGTCTGAGTCTTTCTTTGGCTATTATACAAATGGGTTAGTTTTCTTCTTATTGAGTGGAGAGGATTCCCCACATTTTGGGAAATAAGCACTGTATCATTTGTACAGTATACACACATTTTATTCCTCACTGCAGACTGCCTTTGTAGCGCAAACTTTAAGCTTTTATAAGTCCTACTAATGATTATTTTTTGTTGCTTGTGCTTTTGGTGTTGGATCTGTTTAACTTGGCACTGTTTTGCAGTTTTGGAATTCATTCATAGTTTATGAGCTATTCTGAATTAGTTTCTGTGCACCATGCATGCAATAGAGCATCTCAACGTCATTATTTTGCATGTGATTATCCCGTGATTGCAGAACTATTTGTTGAAATGAGATTGATTCCTTCATTGAAATTTCCTGTCAACCTCGTGCTGTTGAAAATCCCATGAAGAAAGGGTAAGGGTGTAATCTGGACTGTCTTGTCCCACTGATTTAATTATTTATTGATGCCATTACCACACTGTCTTGATGACTATGATTTTGTAATATGTTTTGAAATTGTAAAGAATGTGTTCTCTAACTTTGTTTTCTATTCAAATTGCCTTGGCTGCTCTGGTTCCAGTAATGTTAAATTGATGATCAGCCTGTCAATTTCTACAAAATAAAGCCAGCTGGGATTTTGACACAGGAAATGTGGGGATCAAGATGAATTTGGAGAGCTTTGTCATTAAACAATATTATCATGTAATCAGTGGTCATGGGACAAATTCCAATAATTTTAGCCTTTAATTTCTATAATAAATGTTTTGGAATTTTCCAAATACATGTGTTGGGACTTGTTCATTAAATTGCCAAGTATTTTCTTCTTACTAATGCAA